CACGACGGAACAGCAAATACTACTGTCTTGGCTTCCATTCGATGTGAGGTGATTCGTTACTATTTTAGGGAAATCACCGTCAAGCATCCTGCTGCCAAAAGTATGATTGAAATCGCAAGGACTCAGGTAAGGAGGATGTGTGTTCTGGTCGCTAGCGATCACTTGCTTCAGATCCGCTGTGGACTGTGACATCCTTTCCTAACGCTTGTTTTGCTACCTAATTTTGGTCATTTTAGTTCATATCCTGAGCGCTTATCTTTTTCAGGACGAGGAAACGGGAGATGGAACTACCTCTGTAATAGTTCTCGCTGGTGAAGTTATGGCCCAGGCTCAACAGTTTTTGGAGCAAAAAATCCATCCAACTATTATAATCCAGGTTAAAACAATTACTATTTTTGTGCACTACATTCAGCGCGTCGGTCCATTAACGGTTTCCCTTTTCACCAGATCTACTTGTCGCATTGCAAGGAGCGAAGGAGTATTTGGCAGTCCGTGGGATCGCAAGGACGCGTTCATACTTTGCAAATGTGGAGATCGAGAGAATGCGCGCAAAGGAAAATATAGGTGTCTACTTGAGAGTCGGGAGAGCCGGTGACGAAGGACTAGACGAGGACCCCCTATCCCCACTCAGGAACATATCGCGGGTATCTCAAATAAAGTTCTTTGATTTGTAAAGTGTGAACGGGCAGCCAAGCATGCATCAACTCAGGGCGAAGAGCGGTGAAGGCTGGATTCGTACTTCAAGCCCACATGAGACGGTGGTAGTTAATAGGGAAGAGGCATGCTCAACACACGCGGATTAAATCCTGGATCGGCTCTCGCCCGGGCCATCAAAGCCCTCAACCCTTGGGGACTGTGGATTTGTGCCGGACCCGTGTGGGAGGATAACACTGGCGTGTAGGTCCGCTGGCCCACTGAAGCCATTGTATAGGCCGCATAGCATTCAATATACCACTATGGTTTTGCATGGAGGCAGAATGCGTGCGCAATCCCAAAACGGCTTTTTACGGCAAAGACTTTACTTTTACTTTTTAGGCTTATCGGGCTGCTTTAGAAGACATGATCAAGCTGGCAGAAGAGAAGTATAGCAGGACGATCGACGTTAATAACGACAAAGAGGTTAGAATAAGCTTTAAATGCTAAGGACTGTACTGAGGTTTTTCTAACTTCTTCCTTTTTAGATCACTTCCGTAGTCAAATCATGTTTGGGAACTAAAATGCTGAGCAAATGGATGGATTTGGCTGTGAAAATATCGCTGGATGCTGTTAAGACTATCCGAGTCGATAAAGGAAGTGCAAGTGAAATTGATCTCAAAAGGTAGGTTTGCCCAAGTTGTTCCAAAAATAAGGGATTTTCTGTAGTTCAAATTTTGTGAGCCCCATTGGTCACTCTAACTGCCTCCCTAGCTATCTTATCGTTGCTACGTTTGGTAGAATGAGGCTGTGTAGGAGATCTTTGCTGGTTTGCTCTGTGTTTTAAAACTGGAATTGCAAACAGAGCACGTTGTATCTGGGGAAGTTTTTTACAAAATGTGCCTCTCCAACGTTCCTCCTCTATTACGAGTCCTCCTCAGCCAGCTGCTATTTTGGTGGCTTTTCAAACTTTCCAAAAATTTCCAGTTTCTTCCCAAGAAACTGCCGGGGAGAGGGGTACATGCAGTACATAGTGTAAACAAATAATATCCGGAAAGTATTTTCTTGTGCAATGCAACAGTTTTT